AAAAAAAACAAAACAAAACACAAACAAAAAAAATAAAGCAATCAAAGATGAGAAGGCAGATATAGCTACAAAAAAGTTCATGGCCACATAGATAATGATGAAAAATGGGAAATTACTTATATGTTAAACAAGAAGGAACTGGTTAAGTAAATGATGTCCTATCCCTTATCTTGAGACCAAGCTTTCAACCCTTTCTACCCAACGACTCCCCAGAGAAGGACAGGCACCAGATTTTCAAAATCCTACCTTAAAGCCAAAATCTGAGACCACAGATTAGAAACTGTTGGCAACTTTTTTTTTTTTTTTTAAAGAAAACCTCCTTATTTAGGTGTAATTTACATAAATAATGTGCACATATGTAAAGTGTGCAATCACCACAGTCAAGATAGTATACATTTCTCCCAACAATTTCCCAAAAGTTTCCCCATGCCCCTTTGTCACCCTCTCATCCTCCCCATCCGTGGCAGCTACTGATATGCTTTCTGTCACTATAGACTAATCTGCATTTTCTAGGATTTTATATAAATGAACTCATGCAGTGTATTTGTGTGTGTGTGTCTTTGTTTTGGTAACTGCTTAGCCCAAACCCCAGCCAGTGACCAGTGCCCACTGTATACCAGCCCTATTGTTGTCTTACCCATAGCACTGTTGTGGGCTTTCAGGACTTTTTGGTCTGGGGCTTTCAGAGCACTTTCCAGAGCACTTGTTTCCACATTTCGGAGGATGGAGGTGGTTGCGGATGCAACTTCTCTCTTCTCTCCTTTTTCCCAGAGAGTCTTACTGGTGACAAGTGACTCAAAGTTGTCAACAACCTGTTGCAGCTTGGAAGACAAAAAGAATAAAAGAAATCCATTCTGACATGTTCCCCATCCTGAGGGACAGTAGAAAGCAGGCTCTGACAAGACGACCTGGACTTAATTCCCCAGGTCCACCATTCACTGGTATGTGATCTTGGGCAAGTCACTCAATCACTCTGGGTCTCAGTTTCCCCATCTTAGGATGGGGACAGTTATTACACGTCATAGAGTTTTTGGGAGAATTAAATGAGTTAAAAGATGCTACACTTTTAAAGGGAGCACTGGTGGTTCAGTGGTAGAATTCTTGCCTTCCATGTGGAAGATGCTGTTCGATTCCTGGCCAATGAACCTCAAGTACAGCCACCACCTGTCTGTCAGTGGAGGCTTGTGTGTTACTATCATGCTGAACGGGTTTCAGTGGAGCTTCCAGACTAAGACAGACTAAGAAAAAAGATCTGGTGATCTTCTGAAAATCAGCCAATGAAAACCCTATGGATCACGGCAGTCCAATCTGCAATCAATCATGGGGATGGCACAATACGGGCAGCATTTCATTCCATTGTGCATGGGGTCACCAAGATTTGGAGGTGACTCCATGGCAGCTAGCAACAACAACAACACTTTTAGAACAATGTCTGTGCCTGGTAAGCACTATATAAAGGTCATTTGTCAGTAACATATTTTACCAACAGTGAGGTAGTAAGAATGCGAGAAATAGACCACTGGTTCTCATAGGGACATTTAGCAATGCCTGGAGACATTTTTGGTTGTTATAACTGTGGTGAGGGGGTACTACTGGCATCTAGTGGGTAGAGGCCAAGGGTGCTTCTCAACATTCTACAAAATTCAGGACGGCCCCACCACAGAGAAATATGGAGCCTAACTGTGAATAGTATTGAGGTTGAGAAACCCTGAAATAGTTACAGTAACAAAGACACTCTATCTAGATGTTTTGTTTTGTTTTTTAAATTGTGGAAAACACATATGTAACAAAACATTTGCCTGCCATTTTAAACTCAGAGGAGAGCCAAGAGGCAGGCCAGTGGCTGGAGAAGGATGAAGGGCAATGGTGAGGTTTATACAATTGTAATACAGGAGATTTGAAAGACTATTTTAATGCAGATTCCCATGTTCTTGTACTCAAAGTGTGTCCTCAAACCAGCAGCGTCAGCATCACCTAGGAGCCTGTTAGACAAGCAGGACCTCGGCCCCTGCCCAGGTGGACTGAATCCAAATCTGCACTTTAACATGATCCCTAGGGGATTTGTGTGCACAATGAAATGCCAGACAGTAAGTCCCATAAGTGCTGGAACCTTGTCTAGTTCACAGCTGTTTCCTAGCATCTAGGACTAGCTTAAAGCAGCCCCGGTGGCACAATGGTTAAGTGCGCAATCTGCTCCCGTAAAGATTAAAACCCGCTGCCGTCAAGTCGATTTGGACTCATAGTGACCTATAGGACAGAGTAGTTAATGCCCTATAAGTTTTCAAGGCTGTAAATCTTTACAGGAGCAGACAGCCACAGCTTTCTCCCATGCAGCGGCTGGTGGGTTCGACAAGCCAACCTTTCCGTTGTCTTAGCAGCTGAATTCTTAACCACTGCGCCACCAAGACTCCTCCGTACAGATTACAGCCTTGCAAACCCTATGGGGGCAGTTGTACCCTGTCCTATAGGGCAGCTATGAGTTGGAATTGACTCGATGGCACCCAACAACAATGGGGCTATCCATGGCAGATAGCAGGTGCTCAATAAATATTCATCAACTGAATGAAACCACTTAAGAGGAAAATGCTATCACACCAAAGAGTTATAAGCAGAGTGACATTTATGAAGGGTTGGAGGAACTTTTGGAACTGGCTTTCAAGTACACCTTTTGAATGTTCTACTCTGTCAGTTCATTGAGTCTTTGTGGGAATTCTGAGCCGAGCTATCTATTTTAGGACCAGCCTCCCACCTCCTGCCTGGTATGTAAAATATCTCTCTCCCCAATAACTGACCACTGAAGTCTTCTTGGCTTAAACTCATTTGTACAGAGTAGGTGCTGAAGGAATTTGCTGTTCAGAATTGCTATCGTAGTGGCTGATTCCTCGGCGGTACTGCTGGATGGATTAGAAGTTTAGCACAAACCATTAGTACCACCTAGAATCTCACACAGTGACTCAACGCATCCCCTCTCTCCACTCTCCCATCCTCACCTTTCACTTCTGCCAATTTTCCTGGACTCCCCTTCCCCCTTTCCATCAGCAACCCATGGTATGACCATGCACTTGAGAACAACACTCTACAGGGTGGTGGAGCAACAACATGAAAAGAACTTGGGGGCCCTTAACGATCTCACAGAGCGGAATCTCTCCACCAGCTCAGACAGCTCACTCCTGGACTGTTAACGGAGAGAGAAACAAATGCATGTTTAAAAAAAAGCCGTTGGCTATTTGGGACTCTTTGTCGTAGCAGCTTCATGCTAATATATTTTTTCTTAGTTTCTCTTTCTTGCGCTAGTAGTAGAGGGAAGGATGAGAACAATTTGGGAAACTATTCACCAGTTTCTCCCATAAATTTGTCAACTGGCTTTTCTGTCTCCCAGTTGGATGCCGGTCTTTAGAGGGGGAGTATCCCAGAATATATACACCCTGCCCCACATTTTGGGCTTTGTAAATATTTGTTACCTGGCTACTTTCCAGGGCTCAGTCTGTACTCACCATTTTCTTGCCTTTGATTGGTGGTGTCTTTGAGGAGGTGGTGTCTGTAAAAGACATTGGCGGTGGGGGGGGGGCGGTTACTATTGAAAGTGAGAGTGAAGAGAGGAGGGGTAAATTGGGTAACTTTTGCATCTAGATGGTCTGAACTGACACTCTTTACATTTGCATGACGTAGAGCAGCGATTCTCAACCAGGATCCATTCTGTCCACCCCCACTCCCTGCTCCCCACCCCACACATTGGCAATGTCTGCACACATTTTTGGTTGTCACATCTGCAGAGGGGGTGTTACCGACACATAGTGGGTAGAGGCCAGGGATGCTGCTCTACATCCTACAATGCACACAGGACAGCCCCCAACAGCAAAGAATGATCCGACCCCAATGCCAGTCAGGCTGCCGTGGAGAAACCCTGATATGGAGGAAACAGAAAAGTGTAAGCTCCATAGTCTTGACTGGAAATTATAACTGAAATGGTTGAGGAGACAGAAAATTGGAAGCCTCAGGCTTTTAAACTGAGCGTAGATGGGAATAATAGCTGAAACACAGGTATCAGTTTTCAGCTATCAGCTATTAATGAAGACCTCTGTTGTTTCCGGTGCTTTGTGGGGACAACCATCTCTATATTAGACAGATGAGGAAATGTGAGCAAATATTTACATATCTAGTACCATCAGACTGAGGTTAAATCTATATTTATTCCGTATCTTGGTTTTCAGCTGAGTCTGTTTGCTAAAAACTGCAAAGAGCTATCCCGTCATACTGAAGTTTTGTCTTAAGAGTTCAAGAACTTTGACTTATAAATCTGAGTCTAGAATATGCTTGTTAATGGAAAACTGCACTTTAAAAAAGTAGTTTTATTGTGGTAAAAATATATATAACAAAACATAGGCCAAGTCAACATTTTTTACATGTACAGCTCAGTGACACTGATTACGTTCATCATGTTGTGCAACTCTCATCACTATCCATTTCCAAATTGTCTCCACCACCATTAGCAGAAACTCAGTACACCCTAAGCAAAGACTCCCCTTTTCCTCCTCCTTCCTACCCTGGGTAACCATCAATAATATTTGGTCTCTATACATTTGCCTATTTCATATAAGTGGGATCATACAATATTTGTCTTTTTGTGACTGACTTATTTCCCTCAGCATGATGTTTTCAAGGTCCGTCCATGTAGTGGCATGCATCAGGGCTTCGTTTCTCTTTATCTCTGAATAATATTCCATTATGTATTGTTAGGGATTGAACTGTGTCCCCCAAACATATGTGTTGTAAATCCTAACCTCTATGTTGTGGTCTGAAGCCCTGGTGGTGCAGCGGTTAAAGCGTTCAACTGCTAACCGAAAGGTTGGTGGTTCAAACCTACCAGCCACTCCTTGGAAACCCTATGGGGCAGAGTTGGAATTGACTTGATGGCAAGAGTTTTTTTTTTTTTTTTTTTTCTGGGTATGTTGTGGTTATAATGCCATTTGGGAATGGGTTGTCTTTGTTATGTTAATGAGACAGGATTAGTGTAGGGTGTGTCTTGAGTCACTGTCTTTTGAGATATACAAGAGATTAAATGAGCAAGCAAAAGAAGCAGAGATGGGTAAGACTGATGTCAAGACACATGGAGATCTCCAAGGAACCAGGAAGCAGAAGCTGAAGAAACAAGGACCTTCTTCTAGAGATGACAGAGAGAGAAAGCCTTCCCCTAGAGCCGGCACTCTGGGTTCGGACTTCTAGCTTCCTCTACTGTGAGAAAATAAATTTCTGTTCGTTAAAGCTACCATTTATGATATTTTTGTTATAGCAGCACTAGATAACTAGACATGTATATACTAATTTTGTTTACCCATTTATCTGTTGATGGACATTTCAGTTTCCACCCTTTGGCTATTGTGAATAGTGCTACAACGAACTTTGGTGTACAGGTTTGTGTTCCTGCTTTCATTTCTTCCAGGCATATAACTAGGAGTGGAATTATTGGGTCACATGGTAGCTCTGAGCTCAAACACAGCAACAATTGTGAGGATGATGCAGGACTGGGCAGTGTTTCGTTTTGTTGTACATAGGGTTGCTATGAGTCAGAACTGACTCAATGGCACCTAAGAACAACAATGGTAGTTCTATGTTTAACTTTTTGAGGAACTGCCAAACTGAGAAAGCTGTGCTTTTGACTGCAAGTTGTTAACTTTGTCATGGGAGGTTGCTTGTACCCACCAACCTTGGTGATAACAAACTGCAAATGGACTCAGTCTGTATAAAAGGACTGCATAATCTAAAAACCAAACCCATTGCCGTTGAGTCAATTCCAACTCATAGTGACCCTATAGGACACAGTAGAACTGCCCCATAGGGTTTCCAAGGCTATAACCTTTACGGAAGCAGACTGCCACATCTTTCTTCCGCAGAGTGGCTGATGGGTTCAAACCACCAACCTTGCAGTTAACAGCCAAGTGCTTAACCCCTGTGCCATCAGGGCTCCTTATAAAAGGACTGCATAGAAGCTCCTAAATTTAGGAAAATAACCAAAGGCTTTTTTCTTCCTTGTAAAATAAGATGAGTTTGACTGAATTCAAGTAGGATCTCAATCTGTTTTTGCATTTCAACAGAGGGCCCATTGCCTAGAAAAAGAATAATTTACTCAGTGACTGAAAAACTCAACAGTGAAAAGAAAAACTGAGAATCTGTGGAAGGGGGCCTAAAAAAAGGAAAAGAACAAATCTGGAGAACATGGAGGTAGAAACTGAGATTCATAAGGAAGTTTTATTTCCTGATGAAAGCTTGCAAAGAAGGGAGTGATGCTCCCACTAGCTATATCATAAGAACCACCAGCCATATTTAAACAACACAGGTTGAAATTGACTCTTTCTATAGTAAGCATAGGGTTGCTATGAGTCGGAATCGACTCGACGGCAATGGGGGGAGGGGATAGTAAGTCTCACCAGGCTTCTGCCTTAACTTATATTTGTAAACAAAAGGCTTCATATTCTTGGGAAAAGGTGGTTGCCAGTCAGCTGCCAGTTGGCCCTCAGATCCATATCCACTCTTTCCATGCTCTGTTCTGTTTCATAGAGAGCTACATTTTCCAGGGATCTCTTGCCCTCTGGCTTCCTGATATGTTCAGCCAGTGAAAGGCACTGGTAGAATACAGGAGAGCAGAGGAAGGGAGGAGCCAGCGTATTTCTCCCCCATCTCCTCTGCTTCCTGTGGCATCTCCAGCATTGGCCACACTTCTTCCAAGGTTCCAGCTCTCACCAGATGGACTTAGCTCTTGGGTTCTGGTAAAACCACCACTTTCTCTTGTCCCTATAGGCATACGGTAGCAGTACTTTTGCTACTGCTAATCTCTGGGTTGCCTCACCATCCTCCTTTTGGCTTCTTAGCTCCTCCATCACCAATACCATTCCCTATATGAAATTCCTTCTGCTTGAAAGACTTAGCATGACTTCTGTTTTCCAGGGCAGATCTTGAGCTAAATATCTTGCAGATGAGCTGAAGAAACAGTTGCCGTTGAGTCAATTCCAACTCATAGCGACTCTACAGGACAGAGCAGAACTGCCTCATAGGGTTTCCAAGGCTGTAATCTTTACAGAAGCAGACTGTCACATCTTTCTCCAGCGGAGTGGCTGGTCAGTTTGAAATGCCAACATTTGGTTAGCAGCCAAGCTTTCAACCATTGCACCACCAGGGCTCCTTTCTTGACTAATAAAGAAGGGTAATTTATTTTTTTGCACCAGAAAAGGAGTTCTTTGTCTCTGTTATTGTTTATCCAAGTCCCATGCTATAGTACAGCAGGTGGCTAAGACCGTGTACTCTGAAGACAGTTTGACCTGAGTTCAAAACGGGCCACCACCACTTATTTATTATCTGTTTGGCCTGGGGAAAGTTACTTAATTTCTTCTTCTTTTTAAGTAATATTTTATTGCTTTTAAGTGAAATTTTACATAGCAAATGAGGCTCCCATTTAACAATTTCTACAAAAATTATTCAGTGATATTTATTACATTTTTCACAATGTGTCATCATTCTCATTCATTCTGTTCTGGTTATACCATTTCCATTACTCTAGTTTCCCTGCCTCTTATCTTCCCATCTTTGTTTTAGAGTAATTTTTGACCATTTGTCACATATAGATGATTTTTTTAAAGGAGCTCATTACTCATGGGTGATATTCTGTATTTTATGAGCCAATCTGTTATTTAGCTAAAAGGTGACCTCAAGGGATAATTTCTATTTTAGGTTTAAAGAGTATCTCAAGGTGATAGTCGTGGGGAGTCTTCTACTCTCAGTCAGTCTAGTAAGTCTGGACTTTTTGAGAATTTGAGTTCTGTTCCACATTCTTCTTCTGTTCTGTCAGGATCCATCTACTGCGGCCTTGATCAGAACCATCTGTAGTGGTAGCTGGGCACCATCTAGTTTTTCTGGTCTCAGTGTGGATGAAGCCATGGTTCGTGTAGACTATTAGTCCTGTAGACTACTTTCGTTTCTGAGTCTTTGGTTTTCTTCTTTCTCTTTTGTTCCAGACAAGCAGAGACCAATAGTTATATCTTAGATGGCAGCTCCCAAGCCTTTGGGACCCGAGATACTACTCACTATGTTGGGATGTAGAACATACACTTTATGACCTATTTATGAGAATTAACTGAGCTGTCCCAGTTACTTAACTTCTTGATAACTCAGTTTCTTTATCTGTAATAACAATGATTACCTCATAGGACTATAATAAATGAATAATACATGGGAAGCATTTAGCATGGCACCTGGCTACATAGTACAAGGGAAATAAATAAAAGCTATTAGTATCATTTTATCATCTAACCAGCTTCCTAGAATTTATCTTTAAAGTTTCTCTCTTATGATTCTGTCTGTAGCCAATACCTAATGGGTTTCTGCCAAGTCAAATATCTTTTTTGTGTATAGACCTTCCCCATCCACATGGTTTCCATGAAAGTGATCACATATGAGAATGGTCACATTTATACAACACAGCACCTCCCGTTGGATACAGATCTGAGGGTGGACACATGACTCAGACTGGGCCAATTGGTCCATTTCCAAAGGATCTGCAATTGAGCTGAAGAGAGAGTTGGTTAATTTCTCTTTGGGTGGCTGGCTCAATAATAAACATAAGATCTGGAGCTGCTGGTGGCCATATTTTCTGTCCTATGGATTAGGAAGCAGAGAAAGCAAGTCCACAGTGAAAGAGAAGAAACGAGCAGACCCAAAGAGGATCAGAGACTGGGGGAAGACGGTGAATTTGATGGTGTTGTGTCCCTAGTTCTAGTTCATTCCAGAAATCCAGCTGCATCCTTGTCCTTGAGTTCCTAGACACATCCATGCATCCTTACCATAAACTCTTATTTTCTGCTTAAGTTAGTATGTGTGGGCTTTTCTTTCTTGCAACCCAAAGAATCCTGCCTCAGTCACCACTTCATCACTTTCTCCATCTCCAAACATCACTGGCCTCCCTCACCCCATTATTTCCTTTGTTCTTTTCCTTCATCCATCATCCGTTTCCCTCCAGAAAATAGAACCACATCCTGGTCCCACAACGAGAACATCTTTTCTGGTGTTTGGCTCAACAAAAAATGAGGGAGGGAGACAAGAAGACAAGGATTTTCTTACCCTGACAAGTGTTCTCATTGGAATTCTTGAATTCTGTATCCCCAGAAAGGAGACTGTATCCAGAGACACAGTGACAGTGGAAACTTCCTTCAACATTCTGACATTCAGCATTTAATCCGCAATACACACTAAAGGGTGGTTCACATTCATTAATATCTGAAACACAAAGAATAAATTTAGTTATTCAGTCAACAAAGATTTATTGTGCATCTATTACGTGCCAGAATCTATGCCCTTTCTCCAGTGTCTGTCCTGGCTTTCCAAGAAAACTCAGTTTAGGTAATAGTTCATTGACTTTGGTTGGGTTCTTCAAGAAACAGACATTGAGATAAGGATTCAAGTGTAAGTGCTTTATTTGGAAGGTGATCCCAGAAAACAATGGAAGATAAGTGGTAAAGTGGGTCAGAGAAGAAAAGGCAGAATATAAAAGGGGTGTTATCAAGCAAGTTTCCATTATGGGCAACTGGGGCTCAATCCCTTGGGGGACCTCTGGGAGGAAGTGTAGAGCACACATTTTAGAGTGACTCCATCTGAGTGAGAAAGGATCTCATCAACTCCCATCATTTATTGGTTGAAAGACGCTCCCCCCAAAAAACCAAACCCACTGCTGTGGAAGTGATTCCTACAGGACAGAGTAGTACTGCCCTATAGGGTTTCCAAGGTTGTAAATCTTTATGGAAGCACAATGTCACATCTTTCTCCTGCGGAGCTTGTGGTTTTGAACCATCGACTTTTGGCTCCCAGGGAATGGTAACTCCACAGCACTTCTGGCCTGTCCTGAGCATGGGCTGAGTGGGCTCTAGCAGCTAGAGAGAGCCGTAGGTATTGGCAGGGTCATCTGGAATGGGGCATATCAAGGGCATGTAAGTGGGATACCGACCGTACACTTGTTAATGACATACACTTGACATATACTTGCATACACAAAATAGCTACACTTGATAATTGAGTTAGAATGCCTTTGTTAAGTCAAAATGTCTCCAGTCCTGAGGGTCACTGTAGCTCCTTTACAGTGGTGATGATCAGGCAGTGAAAAATGTGTAATCTCCCTGTCAGGTATGATAAAAGGAAATTTGGGACTTTCAGAGTGTGAGATAGTGTGGCAGACACTGTGTCACATACTCAATAGCCATTCCACCTTTTCTTGTTTCTTTGTTTAGGAGGCCAGTCATGGAGATCTTGTTCCCATTTCTCATATATTCTCTTTCCCAGTCTCCCTTTCAATCAGGGTGGCCATGTGACACAACTCCAGCCAAAGAAAAGTAAGGGATGGTCTGCTGGGGGACTTCTGGGAAAAATCATGCTTCCTGATAAAAAGGACAGATAGGTGAACTTTCTGGCCCCACACCTCCCCCTTGGCTTCCTGAATTTGGATATAGTATGAAGATATGTAGTCAGGAGTTATGTCAGCTATCTTGGGACTATGATACGACAAGCATGTTGAAGTTTGTGAGCAGAAGAGCAGAGAGAGCTTGGAGTCCTTGATTCTGTGGGCTGCTGAAGCAGAGTCTACCTCCAGTCAAGCGATTCCCCTGAGACTATTAAGTCATGTAGAGAGGTCCTGGAGAAGGAGAGAGAAAGGGGGAGAAGGAGAAACACACATCAAGAAGCATCAAAGTGCCTGACATGTAAGGTAAGAAGCCATCTTGGAAGTGGACCCTCCAGCCTCAGCTGACACCACGTGGATCAGAGGTGACCCTCCCCCACCAGATAAGTCCTTCCAGAAATCCTGATCCGCAAAATTGTAAGCAATACAAAATGGTTGTTTTTTTTAAAAATTAATTTTTTTGTTGTTGAGAATATACACAGCAACCAACCAATCAACCCACTGCTGTCAAGTCGATTCCAACTCATAGCGACCCAGACAGAGTAGAAATGCCCCGTAGGGTTTCCAAGGAGCGGCTGGTGGATTCGAACAAACTGCCAACCTTTTGGTTAGCAGCGGAGCTCTTAACCATTGTGCCACCAGGGCTCCATAGACAGCAAAACATACACCAATTTAACAATTTCTACATGTACAATTTACTGACATTGATTACATTCTTCAAGTTGTGCAACCATTCTCACCCTCCTTTTCTGAGTTGTTCCTCCCCATTAACATAAACTCACTGCCCCCTAAGGTTCCTGTCTAATCTTTTGAGTTGCTGTTGTCACTTTGATCCTATATAGATAGTTCTTAAAAGAGCATAATGTCCAAGGCAGACATTTTTTACTAGTTAAGCTAAACTGTTGTTCGGTTTTTAAGACTTCAGGGGATATTTTTGGTTTAAGTTTTAAAGATTATCTCAGGGCAATAATTTCAGGGATTCATCCAGCCCCCTTGGCTCCAGTAAGTCTGAATACATGTGTCATGGATTGAACTATGTCCCCCAGAAATATCTGTCAACTTGGCTAGGTCATGAGTCCCAGTATTGTTTGACTGTCTACTATTTTATCATCTGATATGATTTCCCCATGTGTTGTGAATGCTATCACTATGGTGTAATAAGATGGATTAGCGGCAGTTATATTGATGAAGTCTACGAGATTAGATAGTGTCTTAAGCCAATCTCTTTTGAGATATAAAACAGAGAAGCCAACAGAGAGACATGGGGACCTCATACCACCAAGAAAGCAGTGCCGGGAGCAGAGCGCATCCTTTGGACCTGAAGTTCCTGTGCTGAGAAGCTCCCAGACCAAGAGAAGACTGACAACAAAGACCTTCCTCTGGAACCGACAGAGAGAGAAGGTCTTCCCCTGGAGCCGGCGGTGCCCTGAATTTGGACCTGTAGCCTACTAGACTGTGAGAGAATAAATTTCTTTTTGTTAAAGCCATCCAATTGTGGTATTTCTGTTATAGCAGCACTAAGTGACTAAGACACCATGAGAATTTGAAATTCTGTCTTGTATTTTCCTCCTTTTGATCAGGATTTTTCTGTAGACTCTTTGATCAAAATGTTCAGTAATGGTAGCCGGGCACCATTCAGTTCTTCTGGTCTCATGGCAAAGGAGGCAGTTTTCATGGAGGCAATTAGCCACAAAATCCACACACTCCTCCTATTCCTGACTCTCCTTCTTCCTCTGTTGCTCCAGGCTGCTTATAAGCTTTTAAGATTCCCAGGCACTACCCAATGAAGTAGGAGGTAGAACAGAAGCACTAAACACGTTATTAGGTCAATTAAATGGGGTGTCCCATGAAACTATGACCCTAAACTGCCAAACCAAGGAAACAAATCCCATGAAGTGTTTGGTTGTACATAAGCAGCCTCAGCAGCTACTCTTCTTTTTTTGTAAATGTATCTATCACACAACTTTTGCCAGTTCATTATTTTACAGGTGTACAACTTATTGACAGCAATTACCATAATTGGCTGTGTCACCTATGCTTAATCAATGCAATTTTTCCATCACCTTTAACCCCCATCCCCCATTTTCCCCTTCCTCCCACACCTGGTAACCACTAATAAACTTTGGTCTCTATATGTTTGCCTTACCTTGTCTATTTACATAACTGAGGTCATACAATATTTGTTCTTTTATGATTGACTTACTTCATTCAGCATAATGTCTTCAAGCTCCATCCATATTGTAGCATGTTTTAAGACTTCATTTCTTCTGCTGGCTAGGTAGTATTCTATTGTAGGTATATACCACATTTTATTTACCCATTTATTTGTTGATGGAAATTTAGGTTATTTCCAACTTTTGGCTACTGTGTATAGTGCTGCAATGAACATCAGTGTACAAGTCTCTGAGTCTCTGCTTTCAAGTCTTTTGGGTATATACCTAGGAGTGGAATTGCTGGGTCATATGGTAGTTCTATTTTTAGTTTTTTGAGAAACCACACTGTTTTCTACAACAGCTGTACCATTTTGCATTATCACCAGCAATGGATGTTGTTATGTTGTTGTTAGGTGCCACTGAGTTGGTTCCGACTCACAGTGACCCACTATACAACAGAACAAAACACCACCCGGTCCTTCGCCATCCTCACAGTTGTTGCTATATTTGAGCTCATTGTTGCAGCCACTGTCAATCCATCTCCTTGAGGGTCGTCCTTTTTTTTGCTGATCCTGTACTATATCAAGCATGATGTCCTTCTCTAGGGAATGGTCCAGCCTGATAACATGTCCAAAGTATGTGAATTCTAAGGAGAATTTGGGCTGTCCTTCTTCCAAGACAGATTTGTTCATTCTTCTGGCACTCTATGGTATATAGAATATTCTTTGCCAACACCATGATTCAAAGGCAGCAATTCACCTTCAGTCTTCCTTATTGTCCAGCTTTCACATGCATATGAGATTGAAAATACCATGGCTTGGGTCAGGTGCAGCTTAGTCCTCAAAGTGACATCTTCACTTTTTAACACTATAAAGAGGTCTTTTGCAGCAGATTTGCTTAATGCAATATGCCATTTCATTTCTTGACTGCTGCTTCCATGGGTGTTGATTGTGGATCCAAGCAAAATGAAATCCTTGACAATTTCAATATTTTCTCTGTTTATGATGTCACTTATTGGTCCAGTTGTGAGGATTTTTGTTTTCTTTATGTTGAGGTGTAAACTGAAGGCTGTGGTCTTTGATCTTCACCAGTTAAGTGCTTCAAGTCTTCTTTGCTTTTAGCAAGCAAGGTTGTGTCACCTGCATACGGCAGATTGTTAATAAGTCTTCCTCCAATCCTGATGCCATATTATTCATATAGTCCGCTTTCTCGGACTATTTGCTCAGCGTACAGATTGAATACGTATGTTGAAAGGATACAACCCTGACACGTACCATTCCTGACTTTAAACTACTGCCTCTCGATCTATGTACAGGTTCCTCATGAGCACAATTAAGTGTTCTGGAATTCCCATTCTTCACAATGTTATTCATAATTTGTTATGGTCCACACAGTCAAATGCCTTTGCATAGTCAATTAAACACAGGTGAACATCTTTCTGGTATTCTCTGCTTTCAGATCCATCTGACATCAGCAATGATACCACTTGTTCCATGTCCTCTTCTGAATCCAGCCTGAATCTCTGGCCGTTCCCTGTTGATGTACTGCTGCAACTGCTTCTGAATTATCTTTAGCAAAATTTTACTTGTGTGTGATACAAATGATATTGTTCGATAATTTATGCATTCTGTTGGATCACCTGTCTTTTGAATGGGCACAAATATGGATCTCTTCCAGTTGGTTGGCCAGATAGTTGTCCTCAGATAGTTGGCATAGATGAGTGAGCACTTCCAGTGCTGCATCTGTTTGTTGAAACATTTCAATCGGTAATCTGTCGATTCCTAGAGCCTTGTTTTTTGCCAATGCCTACAGTGCAGCTTGGACTTCTTCCTTCAATACCATTGGCTCTTGATCATATACTACCTTCTGAAATGGTTGAATGTTGACCGATTCTTTTGGTATAGTGACTCTTTGTATTCCTTCCGTCTTCTTTTGATGCTTCCTGTGTGTCATGGATTGAATTATGTCCTCCAAAAAATGTGTATATCAGTTTGGCTGGGCCATGATTCCTGGCATTGTGTGATTTTTCCTATATGTTGTAAATCCTGCCTCTATGATGTTAATGAGGGAGGATGGGTGGCAGTTGTGTTAGTAAGGCAGGACTCAATCTA